TCTTTCACAATCTGGGATTTCAAATTTAATTGATATTGAAAACTACATTTTATGAGATTTCACAGAGAATATGCACCTTCTCTACTCCACGCAACAAGAGAGTACTATTTACTTTAAGTTGGTTTATAAAGTCAAAGTATTTGGCATCTGTAAGGAAGCTATACCACGACAGGTAATTGAAATAATTTATAATTATAGTCAGACCCCTAAATGCAATCTCTCTAAAATGCATGTTCTTTTTTAAACCTAGCTAATATAATACTTGTAGATTTTTTACCCTTTAAATACAATACCTCTCTAAATACTCAATTTTTATATATGGTCTTATTTAGAGAAGTTTGACTATATATTATTATTATTTATTAATTATATACAGAGTATTGGATAAAATTAAAATTTATTAAAGATGTAGTGACTTAGTATAGTGGTCTAGTTATTACTCTCTCCAAGCGGCAGATTTAGAGTTTGAATTCCACTAGTAATGATTTTAAAAAATAGGTCTGTATATAGTTGATGGCTTTTTATTGGTTGGATCTAAGATTAATTTGTAATCTTGGTCACACCATCTAGTAATGGAAGCTTTAGTGCAATAAATCTAGGGAACCAGAATAACTGAAAACCTGTTTGGCAAGTCACAAGTTTGGAGGTAGTAGTAATCTACAATAGTATCACAGAAGAGCTAAATTTAAACCAGGGCCTGAGATCGGAGAACCGAGTGCCTAGGTCCTAATGGTGGAGGACATACTAACTGAACCACTGAGTTGTTATACTAAAAGAAAAGAACATATGCTTTGAAAGTATAGACCAAGGTGAGAGCATCTTTCAGATATCTAAAGCCTGGTCAGACTAACCTTTTTGGGTTGCCGGCTGAAAGTAAAGGAGGGACTGATAAAGAATCCGGGTAAGAAGACAGTCTAAATGTGAGGTACTGGAGTTGCTAGAGACCAAAACAAGGGCAAGAAGTACGTAATGGGCACCTAGTTAGGAAGGTTGGTACTTGAGAAATGTCCGTAAAATGGCAGCACCCCAAAAGGTGGTATGAGATATAAATACAAAATGGCAGGTCAATATGTACTAATTAGGAAGAAGTTATAGAAACAAGCATTTGAATACATGTGTGGAATATGTACTGCTATATTAGATTTACCTCAAGAATAGACTAGGTTTATATAGATTAGTAAGTCCTAAAGCAAGGAGCGAAATCTAAATTGGGTGATATTCAAAATCTAGTATATGAATAGTAAAGGAAACCCATCGGGTTAGGGGGCAGATGGAAGTAGTTAGAACCAGATAGTTTAAATGGGTACTCCCCTAGTTGGGGTGCAGGTATGGCAAATAGTGTAGAATCTTCGAGTGGACTACTTAAATTAGGCACTCAAAAGATACATGTGTGGCTTAATGTACTATTGTTGTAATTATATATAAAACTCCATTTATACTCTAATAAAAAGTTTTCCAGGCCAATATAGATCATTTTAATACCAAAAAAAAAAAAAAAAAAAAAAAAAAAAATTAAAATTCATTATGTCAAATAGCACATTTAGAGATTCTAACTAGTTAACTAAATAACTATTTTATTTTTTGAATAATCTTAGTTAATTAGTTAACCAGTTAATAATTAGCCAATTAATATTTACATAGTTAGGATCGCTAAACACATTTCGAATGCTACATATTTAATTTAATAATATAATTTTACAGACATACATGTCTGTTAAATCATATGCCAGACTTTGCTACTGTAGTATTCGGAGTTAAGATGTTAATAGAATAATATACTCTAGTGCCATTTCAAGTTAATTATAAATTGAAATAACCTGGAGTGGGTCTAAAGTAAATTTGAAGTGAATTTAATAGGGTGGGTTGAAGATTAGATCGATCCAACTTAACTTAACCAACCTAACCCAACCTATTAATAGCTCTATTTAAAGTATACTTTGTACAAGATTTAAGATTTTATTTATTACAATTTTGTGTAAATTATATGAAGCAACATTATATTTTGAGATAATAAATAATTTTCAGTAATTAATGAATTTATCAATTTGAAAAGCTTTTATCACTTAATTCATGTGATATTACCTTGCATAAATGCTTACATATAGTATATTTCTAATTTGAAGCATATATATTAAGGGTACTCTCAAACATCTAAGTTAATAGATTGGTGCTCAATTTTTTAATTAGTGTGAAATAATTTGAATGGTTAAGTAAGTAGAGCTGGATCTTTTGAATATTCATTGTAAGAATTTCAGAAGTTCTTTTTGATAATGATTAGTTTAAGTCAATTTTAAATCTACTTATTAAAATAAATCGGAAAAGAATTAGATTTGATTTAAATTTAGCTAATCCTTGATTATTCACAAATTTTATGTAAATAAATATTCACTTTTAATTAAATATTTATTTTCATTTGTGGATATTCATAGATTCACCTTTACAAGTGAGCTCATCATCAGAATAAAAAAAAAGATAGTCGAGACCATCTTTTTTTATCAGAATTGTATTTATTGTCTAAAATTTACTCAATTAATTGTAGTACTTGTACACAATCTTATTTACTAGCTGATTGCATTGAGGGAGATGCTTGATAAGTTCTTGTAAAATTAATTTAAAAACCTGTATTTAGAATTTGCAATAATTTATTTTTTAGATTAATTACCTTATTCCAAAATACCAAAGTACTGTATTGAAAAAAGTCCAAACACAGTAGTATCTCTTGTCTACTATTATTTTGCTAACTATAGCCTTGGTAAAAAGTGTGTAGTTATTAATGATACAGACATTTAAAATCTTGAAGGTAACTATCTAGCAAAAAAATTACAGCGATATAGCACATTTGCCATATAAGTAGAAGTGCTGCATGCTATATAAATACTGTAAGTAATATAAATTCCATATGCCATATAAGTGTTATATATGGTATAAGTGCTAAATGTCATATCAGATATCATATAAATAAATAATAGATAAGTCGTATAAATTCCGTATATCGAAACTTAAAAACTGGTTCCAGTCTGGTTTTTTAAAAGTTTATTTTTGAACTACTTAGTAATTCAAGTTAAACCATTTTTTTACTTTAATTATACAGTATTAAAAAATAAAGTTTAAAGCAAAACCTGTATTTGATATTTTTGGTATACAGTAATATAAAAAACCAGATTCAAATAAATTTCTTCCAATCTTAAGTGATGATTTGGCTTGGTTAAGGTTAGGATCAAAAAAGTTTTTTTTTGTTAGTATGTATACAAGTATTGGTTTTCAAAAAAAGATTATTTTTTTCAAGTTAGAAAATTTTTTTTTTACTTTGATTATACAGTATCAATGTTTAATTAACATTAAAGTTTAAAACAAAAAAAAACCAACATTCGATATTTATAGTTATAACATAATTAATAAACTAGTTTGGACTAGTTTTGAACTAGTTTTTAAAACTAGATCTATGTATCAATGCCAATCTTAAGTGACGATTTGGTTAAGGTTAGGATTGTAATATTACCAATTTTACAAAAAAAATTATTTGTAGTAGTATACAGATGTTTTTAGACAAGGTTTTCAAAAAAAAAAAAAAAAAAAACTTAATTTTTTTTTATTTTCACACTATACTTTGCCCTGACTAGTCAGAATTAAACTTGTAAATGCAATATCGGTATAAATACAGTCAAATCTTTATAAGTGCACTGCATACAGACTAGCTTCAATTATGTATTTAGAGAGGTTTGCATTTAGAGAAAGCCAATTAAATTGCAGCTTTTAATGTTTGATTTACAACTTGAATACTGAATTCTGATTGGCTACGTGTATTTAGGGAGGTTAGTATGATATAAAAAATCTTTTGAGTGAATGTGCATTTGCAGAATATAAACCATGTATTTAGCACTAATAATTTCTTACAGCCAGACCAAAAACATGCATTTAGAGAGGTATTGTATTTATGGAGGTTGCATTTATAGCATTACAAATTTAAAGTCTTAAAAGTTTTTATCATGTGGATATCAAACAAATTATAGAAAAGTAATATATAAATAAATATTACTGAAGTAACAGTACTATAAATTACAATTTTTTTTATATCATATACATCTTGTAGACAAATTACTTGTATATAGTTTATGTCTATATTGTTATCTATTTTTTTAATAGCAATATCAAATTTTTAGCTATGAAAACAAATAAAACAAATTTACAAAAAAGAAATAGAGATTTGATGAAAGAATCAGAAGATAGTTCGAGTTCAGAAATAGAATATATGAGAAATAATTCTAATTTACAATGCTCAACTAAAAATAAAAAATCTAGACCATTTGCTAAGATATGAAATTATTATATTAAGAGAGTAGAAAAAAGTCACGGGCATTATGAGGCTGCTTGTTATTATTGTATTTCTAAAAAATCTTGGGCAAGAGGAAAGCTGGCAAAACTAGAAGCACATTTAGCAAATGAATGTCCTAATTGTCCTGAAAATATATTACAATATTGGCAAGAAAAAGTAGCAAAAAAAAATACAAATTATATATAAAGAAGCAAGGTCTTACTAGCACAAACATCAATAACAACTCATTTTTTATCTAACTGTCCATTACTAAAAGCTACAATTATATTGTAGAAACTTTGAATTTTTTAAAATATTGTTACAAGAAACTTACGAGAAAAGGTTAAAATGATATAGCTACAATATAGCTACGATATAGTTTTGATATAGTCTTAATATTTTAAAAATTTTAATATAGTAACAATATTGCAACAATATTGTAACAATATTGTAAAATTTTGCAAAATATTTATTAAAATATTGTAATGATATTGTAATGATATTGCAACTATATAGTAATAATATAGTTATAAGAAATTTACAAGACAGAAATTTAAAATAGTATAAAAGTTACAAAAATGCAATAAAATTTTTTTTAAATATAGTAAAGAGATTATTACAATATTATAACAATATTGTAACAATATTGTAACAATATTTTAAAAAATTCGAGGTTTCTGCAATGTTGTTATGCAATAGATCTTTTATTTGGCTTATTTTGAAGTATTTGCATTTCTAACTCATTAGTACTACTTTGTTGATATATGTTAGCTCTTTTATCAAATTCATTTTCTTGCACTTGTATTTCTAGCTTATAATTTCTGCTTTCTTGTTGAGCAATTGCTCTTCTGCTAGGTTCATTTTTACGCTGTTCATGTTCACGTGCATGTTTTAATTGTTGTGCTAAAGATCTTTAATTCATGTTGTAATTAATTAAAAGTAGTATATTTATATTAAAGAAGATAGTAAATTAATATTTTTTAGACAAAAAAAAAAAAAAAATATATATATATATAAAAAGATAGTAAATGTGCTAGAATATATCTTATTAAGCAAAGATTTTTATCAATTTTGACAGCTGCTCTACCTTGTGATATACATTAATGTAACTTGGATTTGGCATAAAGAAAGTATTTTTCTGCATTGTAAATACAAAATAAAATTTTCAATTACAGAATATAATTAGAAATTTACTTTGAATTCGTGATACAAAAGGATACTCTCCTTATACAAATCTGGATTATGCGTAATACATTTCAAGAGGTAGGTCAGCTATTAAAAATTGATAAAAATATCTGCCTTATAGTTATATACTACTTTTGGGTTATAGTAGCATTACAATAATCTTAGTAAAAGATAAATACCTCTTTTTTCAGATTGTGGATCCAGATTATAGGCAAATATTTGTATGATTGGCTGTTTAAATCAATTTAATTTTACATTATTTATACAATTTAAATTACTTTTTTAAAAAAAGAAAAAAACTATACAAAGAATAAACAAAAAAGAAGTATATAGTCTATATACTTCTTTTTTGTTTATTCTTTGTAGTTTTCTTTTTTTTAAAAAAGTACTTTAAACTGTATAAATAATGTAAAATTAAATTGATTTAAACAGCCAA